TGTACAATGCACGGTACGCGGGCCCTCGATTGTTGAGACCAGGCAGTGTGGAAGATGTTAGTGCTCAACTAGTCGTCCTTGGAGTCATCCTTGGTGGTGAGAAGGCTCTTGCGGACAACGAGATTCTCACGACCGTCCACATAAAGAACGACTTCTTCAGCATAATCATCGTAGACTGGATCTCTTGACTCTTCAAGACGTATCTCTTCACTCTTCAACTTCGTCATCATTATAAACGATGTCTTCCTCCACGAACAGACTCGTGTTCTTCTGTAGGACGGGCTTTTTGCATTCCGTCACCCTATGTCCCGGTTCGCCACAAAGTTAGCACTTAATCACCTCCACGTCGTCATGGCGCCTCTCTTGTCGGGGGCGGGGGGGGGGAGTGTTCGTCACCCATAGGTTGCCCAAGGCCGCTAACTCGTGCACGCACCATTGATGATGAAGGATGATCTTCCGTTTCGTCGAACTGAGCTCTGGTACCAGATGACGCCGAATTGAATCCAGGTGTACGGACAGAACGAAGAGAACAACGAATAAGAGGGAAAGAGAATAATAGCTAGGGGAAAACTCCACGCTAGGGTTATGATACAATATGAAAAGTAAAGTGTGAATGAAAGAACCCCGCAAGCCGGCCTAGGAATGAGAAATGAATGGGCTGAACAAAAAGCTGGCCATAGGCCCAGAATTAATAAAACCACAAAATGGCGGCCTAAACGAGCGAATTTGAGGTCATAACTGAAATCCGATGGGCTGCGCCCGATCGGCTCCCTGTGCGTCTCGTTGAGTCCTTTCCAGAAAGTGGTCGCACGCTGAAAACGGACACTCCTAGCAAAAGTTATGCCCAATAATTGGACACCCCAAGGGGCTACTTCCCCAAAAGTTTGCTAGTGTGTTTTGCATATTTGTATGATCCAAGAATGATGTTTCGCTACGGGTCGTGACGAAGATTTGGCTTCGTGTTTGTGTTTGGGGCCCGTTTGGTGAGTGTGACTCTACAGCAAAATCGTATCTGCTGCTGCAACTTGGGTTTATGTTTTTTAAGCAAATATAGGGGGGGTATGTTCCGTGAAGGTTTTTTTGGCTGGTTTTAAAAGGCTTGGTTTTTGCCCTGGCTAGGCCGTGTGTTACCTCATGTGCACCCATGAGACATCGGCGGGCATGATCATGTTTTCACATGCTCGCTTGGGGAATGCCGGCTATCGTTGCATCATGTAGCGGGGGGCATGGTCAGTGAAGGTTTTTCCGGTCGGCTAAAAAAGGCTTGGCTCTTGCTCTTTTCCGTTTGTTTTTTCGGTGTTTGCAAAGCAAAATGCCATTAAACAAGTTCGTATAGCTTTTGTATCTGGAAATCAAATTTTGGGTGGCATGCCTTTTGTTTTTCACATGTGGTTTTTGAAGTGTGGGCTTTCGGAGAACCACTGCTTTTACCGTTTTGGCTATTGCTTTTTCGTCCCCCCAAATGTTTGTTAGTGTGTTTTGCATATCATTATGACC